ACAGCTATACAATGTGTTTGTGTTTTAAGCTAAATGTTATTATAAAAGAGCCAAAAATTTTTAAAAATTAAAAAGTTTATAAAGTTACAGTAAGCTAAGGTTAACTTATTGAAGAAAGAAAAACATTTTTATACATTTAGTGTAGCCTAAGTGTACAATGCTTATAAAGTCTAGAGTAGTGTACAGTAATGTCCTAGGCCTTCACATTCACTCACTACTCATTCACTAACGCACCCGGAGCAACTTTTAGTCCTGCAAGCTCCATTCATGGTAACTGTTCTATACAAGTATACTATTTTTTTTCTTTTGTACTATATTTTTACTTTTCCAGATTATGTTTAGATACACAAATGCCTACAGTATTCAGTACAGTAACAAGCTGTACAAATTTGTAGCCTAAGAGCAGTAGGCTATACTATATAGCCTAGGTGTGTAGTAGGCTATACCATCCAGGTTTGTGGAAGTGTACTCTATAGTGTTCACACAATGACGAAATAGCCTAACGACACATTTCTCAGAATGAATCCATGTCATTAAGTGATGCATGACTGTATATACTAAATATGTATCAAGGGCCCTAAAAAGTCATGCAGTAAAAGATCTCATTAAATTTGTTAACCCCTGCATACTATTATATAAACACCTTCCTCAGAGTGTTTCCTAAGGAACTTGCGTTAGGTTAATAGTTCTCAAACTATGGTAATGGAACCAGCAGCATCAGCATTACCTTGGAACTGATTAGAAATGGGTTTTCTTGATTCTACCCCATACCTATGGAATCAGAAAATCTGGCGGTGAGGCCCAGCAATTTGTGATAATAAGTCCTCTCAAGGATTCTGATGCTGCTAAAAGGTGAGAAGCACTGCTAGAAAATTTCACTGTTACTCAACTCAACAGCATCTTTTTGATTCCTTCATAGCACTTAACCACAATTTGTATTTTTAAAAATTTCTTCTAATGATATTCTATGACTTTATGATTCATTTTATAGTTCGTTCCCCTTATGAGGTACAGAAGGAAGGAAATACTTATCGAAGGCCTATCATGGTTTTTACCCTAGTGTAGGTGCCATCTACCTGGTGTCAATTTGAATATTTTAAAGAATCCTAAATAATGAGTCCATATCTTCTATAACATGAAATACATATTTCAATAATGAGGTAAAACTTAAATTCATTGCTATTATTCTTATTTTTGAAAGAGTACTTACTGGCTTTATTTACTTAAAAATTTTTTTTGAAAAGTATAGACTTGTTTTAGCATCTTTAAAGATCTGTAATGTGCCTTCTCTCATGTCAAAATTCTATACGATTAGGTCTAATCTCTTTGCATTAGCAGAGATTAAATTCTGGTGGCATTATATTTATCTCTCCAAACAAGCAAGGAGCTTTTAAAAAAAATGTAATCAAAGTAGAGCTTAAAACATATTTGTATATAAAAATAAAAAAATCCACAATAAGTGTACATATAACTGTTGCCTTATTTATAATATTTTACTGGATTTCATAAATATATTTTGAATGTTTATATAAAATGCCTCTGTAAATCATACAGAAGAATTTTCTTTTTCTGAAGGACAGAGAAATGTGTCTGAAGGACAGTTAAAGTGTTCCAGTGTATTTAACTTAAATGCATTTAGTACAAAATTACTATTTGTGTTTCCTTGGAAGGAATTATGGCCAAATTTAATTTTTCAATGTCGTTTCACCACCTCTTCTTTTCGTACAAGTAATGATTCTCTGGGTTTATATTATTAGGTCAATTGGAGTTTTATTTATTTTTAGTTACAGGGACAAAGATTGATAGTCTAGAGACTGGATTTTGATTTGGCTGCTGCTGTCCAACAGCAGAATGCCTTGGGGTATCTACTTACAGTAATGAGTATAAGTAGTGCTATCATAATTACTATATTTAAAGACCCATGGTTGGCAGGAGTGTGCTAAAGTCTGAATATAACATAGTTAATCATATCACTGTCCCTGCCCAGGGCAACTGCAACTGAAAGGACATACTCACATGATGAGGAAGATAGCAGATGCAGTGATTTACTTCATTGCTCAATCACAGAAAGAAGTTTAAGATGTTGGCTCTGTTTTCTAAAGAGCATCTAGCAGTTTTCATCTTGTATATTAACTACCCACATGGGTTTTTTATTACATTTTTAAAGTTATTACTATATCTCTTTTTAGTTTTTCTCACAGGAGAAAAAGCCAATTCTGTATTAAAACGTTACCCGAGAGCTAATGGAATGCTTGAAGAAATGAAACAGGGCAACATTGAGCGTGAGTGCAAAGAAGAAGTCTGCACGTTTGAAGAAGCAAGAGAAGCTTTTGAGAATAATGAAAAAACTGTAAGTATCTTGGCAATTTAAAATATATTTTATTATAGATTTGCCTACCTTTTTGATATATATTTTAAATCTTCATTCCTGACTTATGTACATTGCTATCAATTAAAAATTACCTTTGTGAAGAACTCTGAAAGTGGCATCTAACTAATAATATTCTGTGTGTAGGAAAGCTAGGTTCACTTCCCTGTGCGTTGGTCTGTCTTGGAGGGCCTCAGTTCTATAGGACTTTGCTGAGCTAGGATTTATTGTCTAGGCAAAGGGGAAGGATTTGGTTCATACGGGGCATTGTTTTGGAAAGTTATAGATGAAATTATCCCTTCGCCTGATCAGAGAGAAAGTGTGGAAGCAGCTAATGGATGCTAACATTGTTTTAAGACGGTTTGTTTCTCACGTATCTGGACTTCCCTTCCTGCTCAGTGAAAATATTCCTCTTCACCTCTCTTTACTCTAGACCACATGCTATTCAAGGAGAGCAGGGATGGGAAAGTACAAGGCAGGGGTATAAATTTTATAGAACTTCTCCACGGCTGGGAATTACATTACCAGAGGTAGCCACAGTATAAAGATCTAGTCCTGGGCACTGCGAAAATAACACTAGATGCTAAACAAGTGATGTGCTAGAGGGACATCAAATATACTTCAGTAGCAGTGAATGCTGAAAAGTTTTAAAGAAAGGGGATTCGATCTTTTGTTAGGTAGAGAAGGGCCCAAGGGTAAGAGGAAGCAGCTCAAAGAAAGACACTCAGAGGCATGATTGCTAGATTCTAGTGTGCAGAGCAAAAGCAAAATCAGTTTCTAAATTGATAAGCTGTGAGCCTCATTATTTCAAATCTTAGCTAAATCACATGGTTCAAAACAGAAAAGAATACATCATAACCCCATCAAGCAATCACAAAGCACTGTTGGCTTTTTAATTTCTTTCTGACTTTTTTCTTCTGCATCTACTTAGTCCTTGTTGGTTTTATTTTATAGATTTTACTTGTTTTATACAATTAATACATGTACATTGTTGAGAAATTGAAAAATGTAGTAACACATGAATAAAATCACTTGAATTTTTAGCACCACAAGTTTTATAATTTTCATATATATCATTCTGGCCGATTTTTATAATATTACATAGATACTTTGCAAATAAGGAAAATAGGACTGTGGTAAAAATAGTGTTTTGTAGCATGCAGTTATTAACAAAAACTATCTAAGTACTTAAAACATAAGCAAAACTTGGTTTTTGTTACTGTGTTTTATCAAAGACTATAAATTTTAGATGTTCTATGGTTTTCACAAAACTAATAATTTTCACCCTACTTTATCATTCTCCTTTAAACTAATCAACACATAAATGCACATATAAGAATAACATCTATTGGATGCTGGGCAGTGGGGAGGGGGGAGAGGGAGGAGGGAACGGGTATTTGCATACACAAAGAGTGCAATGCGTACCACCCGAAGGATAGACATATTTGAAACTCGGACTTAGGGGGGAAGGGGGGGGCAAGGGCAACATACGTAACCTAAACATCTGTACCCCCATAATATGCTGAAATAAAAAAAAAAGAATGGTAAGTACTTATTTGAAATTTATTGTTCTAAAAGTACTTTATATTGGTGAATAATATACTTTTTTAAAAAAATCACTTTACTGAGGTATGGTTGACATATAAAAAGCTATACATATTTATTGTATACATCTTGATGAGTTTTGGGATAGGTATATACCTATGAAACTATCACCACCATCAAGGCCATAAACATATCCATCACCTCCCAAAGTTTCTTCTTGCCCCCTTTATCATTATTGTTGTTGATATTTTGTGCGTCTGTGTGGGTGGTAAGAACACTTAACATACGATCCATCCTCTTTGCAAAATTTAAGTATACAATACAGTATTGTTAGCTCTAGGCACTCTGCTGTAGAGAAGATCTCCAAAGCTTATTTATCTTGCATAACCGAAAGTTTATATCCTTTGACTGCCACCTCCCCATTTCCCTCTCCCACAAGCCACTGGCAACCACCACTTTCCTCTCTGCTTCTATTAGTTCACCTTTTTTTAGATTCCACATACAAATGAGGTCATGCATTACTTCTTCTGTGACTGGCTTACTTAACTTTACATGATGTCCTCCTTTATCCATGTTGTTGCAAATGGTAGACTTTCCTTCATTTTTAAGGCTGAAGGATATTCCATTGTATGGATATGCCTCATTTTCTTTATATATTCATCTGTCAATGGACATTTGGTTACTTTTAGTTAGAAATAATATTTAGAAACCAAGATCTGGGAACCAGAGTGTGCTTATTGCTACCACGGTGTCATTACTTCTGGGCCTTTCAGCAACAGGGCTAGGAAAAATAGAACTCTCATACATACACATGTGCATGTCTATATGTACATATACATGTATGTGAAATAACAAATTCATTCTGCTGATCTCCAATTTCAATCCAACCCCTCAGGACTTTTCCAACCATCCTATATTTGTAGATGAGATGTAGATGTTCTTCCACAATGAGAACCCTGGCTCCCAATAGCATCACCATATTAACTCATTTGCTTGATCCTATAATACACGCACGATGGTTTCACAATTTTAATATCCATACCATAATGGGGAGGGGGAAAACTTTTCATTCATTCATGCATTTATCGATCCCATCCCTCCATTTATCCATCCATCCATCCATCCAGGAAATCCCTCCATATGTATTCACAGTGATTATCCTTTTTAAAATAGTTACATAGTACTTCCTTGTAAGGATGTGCCACAGTTTAGTCATCCAGTCTGCCTTTGAGCATTAAGTAGTTTTGAGTATTTTTATTTTTTCAATGAAAGATAATGCTGCAGTAAATAACTTTGTGCATATTTATTTTTGCATTATTGGAAGTATATCTTCAGAGTGAATTTGAAGAAGTGGAATTACTGGTCACAGGGTTAATACATATGTAATTTTGTTAGATATTGCCATAGTACCCTCCATAAGGGTTATACTGTTTTGCATTTCCACCAGATATATGCAAAAGCTCATTTTCTCACATTCTCACCAGCAGAAAGTTTTGACCTATTTGTCTATCTGTGGGGCAAAACGTGATATCTTGTGTTGTTTCAATTTGTATTTTTCTTATAAGTGAAATTACACATTTACAGGCCATTTTTATATCTATTTTGTGAATTGTCTTTGTCTTTTGCCCATTTTTCTATCAGATAAATAGTCTTTTTTCCTCTCAATTTTTAAAGGGTATATTAGAGATACTAGCCTTTATTGGTGATATATTAATATATTTCAAATATTTGCTCACGGTTGTCATTTAGATTTTGACTTTGTTTACGGTTTTTTCCA